CTTTGATTTTAAAAGTGGCTGTGCCAGCTAGTAATACTTACAGGTTATAGTACCTCATAAACCTCAATTTCATCATCTGGAAAGGAGAAAATATACCCTACCTCAAAGTGTTTCTTGAAGAATGAGATGATTGTGCTTGCTTCCTCACTTACCCTTTCTCTCTCTGGTGAAATTTGAAAAAATAATATTAAATTTAAAAATAAATAAGGGCCAACAGGTCGCATGGTGGTTAAGGTGCTAGACTCCCACATGGCTGACCATGGCTCAAATCCCAGCTTGCTTTCTCACTTTCCCTTTCTCTCTCTGCCTGCCTCTCTCTGGTGAATTGGGGTGGAGGAATAAATCAATAAAATAAAATAAAAAATAATAATTCTTAAAAAAAGAATGAGATGATTCTGTGTGTAAAAAGGGGTGGTTCTAGGGTTGGCAGGTGGCATGGACTGCCACATGGCTGACCTCAGTCCTGGACCTAGAGGCTTGCTTTCCTATTTTCCCGTTCCCTCTTTGTCTTTCTCTGGTCAAATTAAACAGATAATAATCATGATAATAAATGAAATAAAGTAATTCTTTAAAAAAAAGGGGGGGGATGATTCTATGTGAAATGCTTGAAATGATGTTTAAATTTTTGAATTTTTTTCACATCTTAGAATATTGGCTTATTTAGGGAACCAGCAGTTAGCGTAATGGCTATGTCGCTGGACTCCCACGTAGTCGTCCGCGGTTTGCGTCCCGGACCCGGTGGCTTAAAACTCACGCCGGGCGCGTGTGTGTGCGTGCCCAAGATCCCAAGAGGAGAATGGAGGAGAGGAGAAGGGATTGCGGCGTGACCATCCCCCCTGGGGGGTGATTTCTCGCTTTCTGTCTCTATGTCTCTCTATCTCTGTCTGTCTGGCGAGTGCACGCACCCTATAGCAAAAATCTCTCCAAAAAAAAAAAAAAAAGAATATTTGCTTATATATACTGTCTTAGGGATGGGACCTAAGTCAAAACATGAAATTCCTTTCTGTTTTATATATACCTTATACACATAGCCTGAAGGTTATTTATTTGAGAGAGATTTTTGCTGTAGAGCAGAGACAGAGACAAAAAACGAGAAAGCACCCCAAAAGGGGTTGGTTATGCTGCAATCCCTTCTCCATTCTCTTGGGATTTTGAGCAGGCATACACATGCATCTGACATGAGTTTGAAGCCACCAGGTCCAGGACTCGAACCACAGTTGACTGCATGGGAGTTCAGTGATGTAACCACTACACCATCTGCTAGTCTCAAAATTCGCTTTTTTTTATTTGAACAGAAGTTGTGTTCATCCACATTTCAGGTTCCTTTGGGAACACATTGTCACATTTACTGAGGTTGAGCATTGACAGATGATGTTGATTTGCTAATTTGAGAGTATCTGTAATGGTGATCATATAGCATCTTGGATATACATAAGAAGCAATGGAAATAATGTTAAAATAATTAATGTTTTAGCACTGTAGAAAGCTTCTTGGTGGCAGGGAATTTGGAGTGTTCTTGCTTCCATTGAATTCAAATTTATTTCTATCTGCCTCTGGAAATATTCTCTTTAAAAAAATCTGTTACCTTGGGGCTGGCAGGTGGTGTGGTGAATTAGGGTGCTGGATTCCCACATGAACGACCATGGTTCGAGTCCCGGATGTGATGGCTTGCTTTCTCACTTTCCCTTTCTTTCTCTCTCTGGTCAAATTTTAAAATAACAGTAACAAATGGAATTAAATAAATAAATAAATATTTAAAAATTATTTGAAAAATATATTATCTTATACACTCAAAGTGTTACAAAATTTCTTTATGAAGAAATATTGGAATCAGTCTTGTAAATAAACCCCGAATTTATTATTTGTTTGTTTGTTTGTTTTTGTAGACGTTTTTGCCTTAGGATGTTTGTACTCACCGGAGACAGAGACAGGCACAATGAGAGGGAAAGTGAGAAATCAATCGCTAGGGGTGATGGCCACACCTCAATCCCTTTTCCCTTCTCCTGGGATCTTAGGCATGCATGCACACACACCCAGCATGATTTTCAAACCACTGTGTCGGGGACTCGAACTGCAGTTGGCTATGTGAGAGTCCAGTGATGTCACCACTACGTCATCTGCTGGCCACAAACCCTGCAGATTTTGGTCAGATTGGTTCATATTTTCCACTAGGAAAAAAAAGGGGGGGAGTTTGTGATTTTACTACCTTTGTTAGTATCTGCTGCTTCTTTTTTTTTTTTTTAAGGTAGAAAAGAAGATTTAATAGGAAAGAAAGGAAGTATACCCAAAAGGCTCTTGGGTGGGCAGATTGCCAGGTGGCAACCGCTGTTAGTATCTGTTTATTAATTGATTATCAGAGGGCGTCAGTGCTCTCTAGGGAGAGGCATGGTCACCCTGCATTCCTTTACCTCCATTTCTCTACCTCACTAGGGTTTTGGCATGTATGCACGTGTGCCCAACATGTTTTTCAAGCCCGAGGGCCAAGATTCAAACCATGGTCACCATGTGGGATCCAGCTCCTTCCACACTGCTGTGCTAGAGACCAGCCAGCTTCTTTTTATTCTAAAGAATTAGGCCTTGTTTGCATTTGGGTTTCTTTTTTAATTTAACTTCCTGCGTAAAGGGAATGAAACAAAGCTTTCTTCTTTGCTTGGAGCAGAGGTTGGGGTGAAGAAGAAGGATTCAGTGCTGTTTTATGAGTTGGTCCCAAGAGAAAATTTCCTCTTTCCAGTTTTGTTCCCTGTCTCCTATACTGCCTCCCTTGAGAGATCTATGATGGGGTCTCACCAGCAAACACCACCCAACCTCCATCCCCAATTTATTCTGTTGGCATTCACAATTTATTTGTCCCTCTGTGAACTGGTGGCCTAAGGAATAACTACTGCCTGTCCCTGGCCTGTCAGTGCATCCCCCTTACCTTCTGCATGAATAGCATTGGTTAATCCTTTGTCCTCTGAAATATTCTAGCTTCCCACCTATTGGAACATTTTTTCCAGCCTGTTAAGAGCCTATTGTTGGGATGGACAGGTGGCATGGTGGTTAAGGTGCTAGACTCCCACTTGCCGTTTGAGTCCTGGATCTGATTGATGACTTACTTTCTCACTTTCCCTCCCTCTCGCTCTCTCTGGTCAAATTAAAAGAATTTTTTTAGAAATTTAAAAATAAATAAAATTAAATAATTCTTTTTTGTTTTTAAGAAGTTTTTCCTAGGGAACCAGCAGTTAGCGTAATGGCTATGTCGCTGGGTTCCCACGTAGTCGACCGCGGTTCGTGTCCCGGACCCGGTGGCTTAAAACTCACGCCGGGCGCGTGTGCGTGCGTGCCCAAGACGTGAACCGCGTTCGACTACGTGGGAGTCCAGTGACATAGCCATTACGCTAACTGCTGGTCTCTTATAATAGAGTAATTCTTTAAGGAAAAAAAAAAATGAGGGGCTGGTGGGTGGCATGGTGGTTAGGGGCACTGGACTCCCACGTGGCTGACTGTGGTTCAAGTCCTGGACCTGGTGGTTTACTCTCTCTCTCTCTCCTCTTTCAATCTGTCTCTGGTGAAAATTGAAAAATAATGATAATAAATAAATAATTATTTTTAAAAAAAGAGCTATTGTTTCTAGTCTCTCTTTAAGGCTGAGTGGCCCTCTACCCTTCAGGAATTTTCTCTCTTTTTTTTTTTTTTTTAGAATTATTTGCTTAATTTTATTTATTCATTCATTTATTTTTAATTTGACCAGATAAAGACACACACACACACACACACACACACACACACTGAGAGAGAGAGAGAGAGAGAAAGCTACCATGTTCCGGAGTCGAACTGTGGTCGGCCATATGGGAGTATCCAGTCCTTTAACCACCATGTCATCTGCTGGTCTCCCCCTTCAGGAATCTTTCCATTTTCCATCACTGTTCTCTTCTTCCTCTCCCCACTCCCTATAATCTTTCCTCCTCACCCTTCTTTTCCAGCCAGCCTCTATAGCTCTAACTGAGTAACTGAAAAGATTCAAGGATGTAGTCTCTAGCTGCCAAACTTATGTCTGGGCTATTCTCCTTCTTGGACCTTGTGATAGTCCATGTAAGTTTAGATTAAAGTAGCCAGGAGCCCAGTCCAGTATTATTTTGCTATCTAACTATTTTTTTCTTCTTTTTAACAGGCAAAGAAAAGGAAAAGAGCAGAGCGTTTTGGAATTGCCTGATGAAAATTTCCAAATGCTTTCTGTTCTCCAGTGTTTTCCATTTATCCAGTTCTTCTTGGCCACATATATATATATACCTTAAACGCACAGTCATGTGCCCACGTCCTGCCTCGCACTGAGGGAGCATGTACCCCAGGTACATCCATGAACTCCAACAGCAATTTGACTTACTGCTGTTCCAACTTTAAGGTTGTTGTGTTTTTGTTTTTAATTATTTTGCTTGTTAATAAAAAACAAAAATAGAAAAGAGAACAATGTGTTTTATTAGGTGCTCCTTTGAGTTCTTGGAGCCAGATTAGACCAGATGAAGGGAGCTTTAGAAGTACATGTTGTAGGGAATTAACCATAATGCCTTTATCCTTTAGGAAATAAATCAAGGAAGAGGATTGAGTCTACCATGTAAGCCTATATTTATTCCCTTCTCTCATACTTACAGGCATCCTTTTACCTCTTTATCCTCCATGAAGAGGCCAGATTTCCCCCTAAATCTTTGCTTTAGCAGTTGAGATGAAGTAAGAGCAGGAGTTAGCAAATGCTGTGGTGGTTAAGGTACTGGATGGACCTCTCGCATGGCCAGCCGTGATTTTGAGTCCTGTACCTGGGGGCTTGAAAAGCATGCTGGCTATGTATGCATGCTGAAAATCCTGAGAGGAGAATGGAGAAGGGATTGTGGTATAGCCATCCCACCCAGGGGATAATTTCTTGCTTTCACTCTCCTTTCTCCTCGAGCACATGTGCCCTGTGGCAAAAAACAAACAAACAAACAAACAAAAACTTAAAAGAAAATAAGCATATCTGAGGTTTGAGGAGGTGTAAGGGATGTAAGTGAAAAGTCTTATGATTGGTAGTCTTCTATTATAAGCTAATAATGAAACCCTTTTCTTAGATAAAGTGGGAGTCCAAAGTCCCAGAATTAGAAGATAGACCCTGGGGCCAGCAGATGGCATGGTGGGTAAGGCGCTGGATGCCTATGTGACTGACTGTGGTTCTAGTCTGGAACCTGGTGGCTTGCTTTTTCACTTTCTCTTTTTCTCTTTCTCCCTCTGGTCAAAATAAAAGATAAATGGTAGTAACAAAATTAAATAAATAAATCTTTGGTCGGGGGAGAAGATGAAGATAGGCCCTATTTTCTTTCTTTTTTTTTTTCCCAGAGGTTTTTGCTATAGGGCACGTGTGTTCACCAGAAAGACAGAGAGACAGAAAGCGAGAAATCACCCCCGAGGGGGGATGGCCTCGCCGCAATCCCTTCTCCTCCATTCTCTCGGGATCTTGGGCACACATGCACACGTGCCTGGTGTGTGTTTTAAGCCACTGGGCCCAGGACTCGAACCACAGTCAACTACATGGGAGTTCAACAACATAGCCATTATGTTAACTGCTGGTCCCTGTTTATTTTTATTTTATTTTAGGTTTTTGCCTTAGGTGTGTGGCACTAGCCAGAGAGAGACAGACAAACAGTGAGAGGGAAAGTGGGAAATCACTCCCCAGGGGAGATGGCCATGCTACTATAATCCCTTCTCTTTCATTTTCCTCTCAGGATTTTTGGGCATGTACATACACTTGCCTAGCACAATTTTTTTTAAGAGTTTTTTTTTTTTTTTCTGTAGGGCATGTGTGCTTGCCAGAAAGATAGAGAGAGACAAAGAGATAGAAAGCGAGAAATCACTCCCAGAGGAAATGACCACACCAGTCCCTTCTCCTCCATTCTCCTCTCAGGATCTTGGGCACACATACACATGTGCCTGGTGTGGATTTAAACCACCGGGTCCGGGACTCGAACCACGGTCGACTACATGGGAGTTCAGTGACATAGCCATTATGACAACTGCTGGTCCCCCTAGCACGATTTTTAGGCCACTAGGTCCAGGTCCAGGACTTGAACCATGTTTGGCCATGTAGGAGTCCAGTGCCTTTAGCATCATGCTATCTGCTGGCCCTGTTTATTTTTGGTTTTGTTTAGTTTTTGCTAGACAGTGCATGTATTCACTGGGAGAGAGTCAGAGAGAGAGGAAAAGTGAGAAATCACCCATGGGGAAATGGCCATACCATAATCCCTTCTCCTCCATTCTTTTGGGATTTTGGGCACTCATGCACTTAAGCTTGGTGTATTTTCCATTGCCAGGTTCAGGACTTGAACTGCAGAACCAGTCATGTGGGATCCAGTTGCCTTAATCTCCATACCACCTGACTAGCCCAGAGACCTTGTTTGATATGCACCTCAGGAAAGGGGAGGATACCCCTCAAAGAAGAAAACGTAGGGATTCACCACATGACAGAATGTCAGAAATCTTAAGCTAGATCCCACGTGGAGAATATGAGCAGTGGGTCTGGAGGCTGCTTCTTTCTAATCAGGTCCCCTGCAAATTTGTCATCTTCTGTTGTAGAAGGCTACTGCTGCATTTTGTTGACATTTTTGGGTATTACTAAAACACATTTTTCTTACTGAGTCTCCTACTTCAAGGTTTGGTTTTCCCCAAGCAGGCTGCTTATTTGTATGTTAAGTTTGATTCATATCTGACACCTGCTATTTAATCTTTTTGGATGTGTTAGTGTAAGATTTTTCTTCATAATATTTATATCTGCACATGTACTTTTTTTGCTTACTTTTTTTTGGTAGTAAAATTTACGAGCCTGGCATCTTACCTGAGGGCTTTGGTGCCATGATCAGATTTCATGTTGCTGTGATGTAATCCTTTATCCTTTCTTTCACTAAATCTTTGTCCTTATTTCTAATCCCTTAATACTTACTAAGGAAGAATCTTTATTTCTACAAACTCTCTGGTTGATGAGGAAAGTAAGGGATACTTTAGGAAAACTGTGTCTTGTGAATTCGCCTCATTCTGAGACTTCGGAGAAATGAACAAAAGGGAAAGCTAATTAAACTGTTGATACCTCCTTAACCAAATAAACCTTAGAATGGAAGTGACCTTTACTGTCTTCCCACTGGTCTCTTCTGCCTGCCTCTCTTTTCTTTACTTCAGAACTGTGGGCCAGCTTGTGATGTGGTAGTTAAGGTAGCTGGGTCTCACATGACCAAACACCAAGTACATGGTGTGCATGACCAAAATCCTTAAAGGGGATTGCTGAGTGTCTGTCTCCCCTAGGGGGTTGTATGCTCACTTTCTTTCTCCCTAGTGTGTGCTCTCTAGCAAATTTTTTTAAACGTTGTGGGGGAGAACAGCCAGTGGCATAGTGGTTAAGGCAGCTGGATCCTACATGGCCAGATGAGTCCTAGAACTTGTAAAACATGTTGGGCATGGGAATAGCAGATGATGTAATGGCTACATTGCTGGACTCCCATGTAGTTGACCACAGTTCGAGTCCCAGACCCCGTGGCTGAAACTCATGCTGGGCACGTGTGTGTGCATTCCCAAGATCCCAAGAGGAGAATGGAGGAGAAGGGATTGCAGTGTGGCCATCCCCCCGAGGGGTGATTTATCCCTTTCTGTCTCTGTCTTTCTGGCAAGTGCCCCCCCCCTGTAGCAAAACCCTCCAAAAAAAAAAAAAAATGCTTGGGTGTATGTGCAAGCATATCCCAAGAGATGAGAAGGGATTGTAGTGTGACCTTCCCCCCTAGGGAGTGCTCTTTTCCTCTCTCTCCTTTTCTCACTCTTT